ATAAGTACACAACAAAAAGGAAAATAAACTTAAAAATATCAAAAAAAAAAAAAAAGAGAAACCAGTCAGCTTTTCAGTTTTCTCATCTGCAAATCTATACATGATAATTTCTACCCCATGAGAGTCTAGTGAAGAATAAATAAATGTATTTGGAAGTACCTTGTAAATTCTACGTGCTAACTTAAGTTAGATGTATTAGAATTACCATCATTTAGCAAGAATTAGTTAAATACATTTACTTCTGTCTAATTTTTAATATGTATCGTGATCAGAGACATCTCAGGGTTGGCTCTTTATTCCATTTTGTAATAGTTTACAAAAAGAATCTTTTATTCTTTGATTCACATTACTGAGCTTCTATGGTGTGCTAGGCACAAAACAAACACGAGCCAGCTCTTGTGCACAGAAAATCTAATAACCGAACTACTAGTTTAGCAGCCTGTGTAACTACTGGCATTAATGAAGCCAGACAGGAATCTGATGTTTTAATGTCTTCTAGAAGCCTGTTTCTTATTAGTTTTGCATTTTAATGAATCTCCACTGCAGTTTCTATCACTTTGGATGGCTCGCTAGCAGAGGCCTGTGTCAGCCTTGATAAGGCAGTTTTGCGGCCTTGGCGAGTCCTTCCCCTGAAAGGAAACTCCAGGAGAGCTGGGGCCTTGGCTCTAGGAACGCATTACTCCCCCTGGGTGCTCAGAGGTTTAATGAATAAAGAAATGAAGGCAGGAGTCTGACCAACTCTCTTACACCCGTAGCTTAGAGCTGCATTTTCAAAAGCATAGGGGCCCTACCTAGGGCTGAAGGAAGCGGCAGGAGATACTTGGCTTCATTTCATTTTCAGGGCTAGAGCTGCCATCCCCAATCCCTGCCCTCGCACTGTCACTCCCTCAAAGCCCCAGAAGACCCCCTTCCTGAGCCACCTCCCTATTACATCAATTCCCTAGGTGCCACGGGAATAGAGTGTTAAGTAGGTGTAAAGTTCCCTGAAAGCGTGTTGTAAAATCAGGCTGGGGACTGTTGATAATACCTGTTATATTGGGCAGCATATTAACACCATCTTTTTCTATATAATTTCTATGTTAGGCTGGGGAAGGTAACATTTATTGAGTACCCAGTACATGTCAAGTACTAAGCTGCGTACTTTACAGTATATAATTTCCCTTAACTCTCATGCTCACAAGACTAAAACGGTAGACAGAGACAGTGCCTGCATCTTACACAGGATGAAATCCAGGGCAAACTGCTAGTAACTAGCAGAGCACGTCTTTGAATCTTGGTTTCTCTGACCTCAAAGACCGGCTTTTTCTACTACATGAGCATTTTAAGGTAAAACTAAATCTACTCTTCTAATAAGGTCCTTTACACCTGAGCATTTTGAAAGATTATGATGACCTTATAAAGACGCTATTTGTTAATATAAGGGATTGGAAGAACAGATATTAGAGTAAGTTTTTTCAGTGTTCTGGTGAAAGATGCCAGATTTCTTGAGTGAAATGCGAACTCAGATTTTTGTCCCATACAACACGCTCACACCATCACTGTCACACCTGTAGGAGGAGAGAGAGGAACCCCATGGGCATATTTGACATGGCCCGACATCGGCTGCAAGCGCCCGTCAGAAGACAGTCCCCAAAGGGCCTAGACCCCACTACTTTCCAGAACATTCAGGACTTCAATGAGCTGAAAGAGAGAGGTGAGTAGAACGCTGTCTTCCGAAGATACAGCAGGAATGTCCTGCCCACATTCAAGGATCGTTAAACACGTTTGTCCCCTTTTTCTAAAGTTTTATTTGTGATATTTTGTGCTGATGAATAAAACTTCCTGACCCTCTAGTTGTTCAGTTGACCAGTCTGGTAGATGAGGCTTTACTGTGCTAAGTATGCATTTTCTATGGAAGAGCCGTTCGCGGCCAGAGCCTCGGCAGTGGGCTAGAGCACGGGCAGCATGTGAAGAATGGCGCTTAGAATTTCGTGCAGGGCAGACAGCACGATGGGCGTAGGAAGGAGACTGAGGCGCAAAAGCCAGTGGCGGGAGAAAAGCAGAGCGGGTATCCTGAAAGTTGAGGGAAGGGATGGTATCATGGAGGAGGGATCGGCTAAGGTGAAGAATGGAAAGTGTCAGCTGGATCGCAGGCCATTGGTGACTTCACCTCAATCCTTTTCTGTAGATCGAGGGCGTCAGAAGCCAATTAACTTTGGGGCGAGGACTGAATAGGAGTCAAGCGTTGGAAGCAATGAGCAGGAGACAACCCTTGAAGAAGCTTGGCTGGGAGGGACAGAAGAGCCCGGGCTGGAAGAACGTGTTGGATGCTCAGGAGGGAGCAGTGAGGGTTGGCAGGAGCAGGGTCCCCGAGGAGACAGGAGGACATGCAGGATTGTGGGAGGGAGAGAACAGAAAAGGTTCGATGCAGAGCAGCAGGAGAGAAAGCGTATTCAGGAAGCAGAGTGGCCGAGGCACAGAGGCCCGGGGGACTGACCATGCGCAGGAACCAAAGTGTGTGTTTGATTTAGGTATTTCTTTAGGAGCATTCAACTCGGTAAGCGGAGTGGAGGAGGCCAGCTGCCGGATGTGTGTTCATAGGACCTATACCAGATAAACCAGAATTTAAACTGTTCTTTTTCTTATTTTTAAAAGTAATGCTTATTAGACAAAGTTTTAAACACAGAAAGAGGGAAAAATCACTTTCCTTAAGCCACTAACTAGAAACACCATTAATATTTTGGATGTTTTTTAGTCTTCTTTTGAGCCTAATTAAAACAAAAAAAGTAAAACAAAAATGATATAATTGTTATTTAATTTTGTCTTTACTTAGATTTGCAAGTGTCATCAATTACATATACCATCGTTACTTTTTTATGCTATGGTTTATTGATTACTTACTATATATATTCCAAGCATTGTATTAAGCCAGTGGATGTCAAGAGTTTGACCATGGAACCTGTGAGGTCAAAACTGGTTTTATTATAAACTAAGATACTATTTGTCTATTTCATTGTTGTTCTCCCGGGTGTGTACAGGTTTCCCAGAGGTTGTAGGCATGTGATGACTTCATTGCTCTGATGCTAACAGAATGTGTGCTTATGTTTCTCATGTTTTAAAAACTTTTTAATTTCTAATGTGTGTGTGGGGGAAATCCTCAACTTTTGAGTATAAAGAGGTCTTTTAAACCAAAAAGGTTTAAACCATAAGAATAGAGCCATTCATTTCCTTACATTACCACATCCGGTCCTCATTCATTTGTGTGACTTAGTGGTTGGTATTGTTTTTACACGGAGGAAACGTAGTCTGGAGGTGAAGCCAGGGTCCAGTCCAAGTTCATGTGTCCAGTCTCTTCTGTTAACTTTGCTCTTAAGTAGTTTTTAATTCTTAGATATTCAACATGCTTCCCATTTTTCACTATTATTTTGATCATTTCTGATCATAAAACTTTTTACATATTTAGTTTCTTTAAATACCAGTGGGGCCTGCCAAGTAGCTCAGTTGGTTTAGAGCTTGCTCAAGAGTGTGAGCTCTGAGAAACAGGGTCGCTTCGTTTGATTCCCGGCCCCAGCTGAGCTGCCAACAGGTGGCAGGATAGCTCAGCTAAAAAGGAAAAAAAAAAACTAAATTAAATCCCAGTGGTATAAGTAGATCAAAGGGAACAGTATTTTCAAGGCTTTTAAAAGGCGAAAGATTTATACGATCTGAAGAGAAACCAGAGTATTTTTTCAAGGTTTTTAAGATGCATAGACTAAATTTTTATTCTCAAGATTTAAAAATAATGTTTTAACATTTTCATTCTGATCGATGGGGATACTCTTGAATCTGTGGCATAGGTGAACTCTTAGATTGTCATTCCCTCCAGTAATGACGTCCCTCCTAAAGTGCTAGCCAGTCTGCTTTTATCTTGCTCTTTGCATATTTGTAAGGGCTCAAATATTAACTGGCTAGTAACATTCTAATTTTTCAGTATGTTACAGGGATCGGCTGTGCTTACTGTCTCCTGGCTGCCTGAGTCACAGCCTTGTGACTGCAGCTGGATAGACCTGTAGTTAGTTGCCCTGCTGTACGCTCCGGTGGCCGCCAGGGGGCGTGAGGTGGCAGGGATGGACGATGCTCCTGTGAGCTCCCTTGTAATGGGCAAGTTTGAAAAGGCATTTATTTAAAGAACATTAATGTTGTGTTCCTTAGTTTTATGATGATTTCAATGTCCGTTGACTTTGGTGATGTTCCATTATTTATATTGTTCCTTGATTTTGAAATTAAATGACTCATATGTAACTTATAACTTATTTTTTGCACCAGATTCAGAAACACGATTTGACCTGAAACTTATGTACCCGGATCCTCCAAGAGATGGGCACACCTTAGAGATTCAGCAGCAAGCCCTGCTGAGAGAGCAGCAGAAGAGACTGAATAGAATGAAAATGCGGGACGGTGCTGAGGGTAAGAAATAACCGTTACTGTTTCCAGTCATTATGGGTTGTTTAATGCTGGCTTGCTTTCTCCATCTCTCGTATTGATTTCTGCCCCAGGCAGGCTCCCACCACTGGCAGCTCTGTGCTCACACAGCCGTTTTGGCATTCGGCTTGGCCTGGGGTCAGGTATCCTCACCTGAGAGGGGCCCAGCTGTTCCCTGTAGCCAGGAGGATTGAGTGCCTTGATGGGGCCCGGTGACATCACACCGGAAATTAGGAACCAAGGGAGGAGTGCTGGGCAAACTCAACAGTGCCCTATGGCATTTCACTATTGTGTGTGTCTGTTTTGATTGCTCATACAGCAGTAAATCTGGAAAGCATCTGCTTATCCGCTATTGGAGAAGTTTGCAGTATTCATCACATTTATACTTTTTAGCATCTAAGAAATCCAGGGTCCCTTGGCAGTGTGGAAGTGGGGTGAGGTGCTTGGGCACCTGGAGGCAGAGTGGAGCCAGTTGCCTCAGCATCGGTGGTCCCAGCCGGCTGGTGACCCTCACACGTACTCACCAGCTTGGCCGGCCTTCAGGCCTTTGAGGGATGACCATAGAAAACAAGTCAGAAAAAACCAACAGTCAGGTAACAAGGGTAGGAGGAGATGGTCCTGGGAGTTGTATTTAGGAAAACTTCAGACCCTGCCTGGGCAGACTGTCTGGCCTGCAGAGTCTGAGGAACATTCTGGACCGCATGAGACAGTGTCACTGAGTAAGCGGGGCAGCGCTTTAGGCCCATGTCACAGGTCAGGACTAAAAGATTGTACATCCCTCCATCTGATGCATAATAACCCAAATTCTATGATAAATAGTGGGCATATCATCAGGAGAGAAGAGAGAAGCAGATACATTCTTCAGCTTTTATACCCATTTTGATGGGATTTTTCTTTAGAAGACCCAACTCATGGTCTGATTTGGTACCATCTTGGCAACCAGATTAGCCCAAAAGTTGTCCCCAGGTGGACACAGGTGCATTTTGGCACTGTGGGTATCCCCACAGCTGCCAACCCCCCAATGACTGACAAACACTATGATGACTTAATTCATAAATATGGTTTAACTATTAAAGAGTCACATCCAGCCAGCTGCCTGGAACTGGAGTAGCTTTCTTCAGTTTCAGTGAGGAAGCCCCTGTTTACCTCCACTCAACACCCTCTGCACAGATTGTAGAAATCGGAGAGAAGACAAGGAAGAATCCTGCAGTATTTTCTTTTTTTGCAGGTATCCGTGTTAAGTAATGTGAACAGGAGAATTTTATCCAACTAGAATGGATGCTGAGTTATATTTATTAATAAACGAGTAGTATCTTAAAAACATTCTGAAATGTGATAGTCAAGAAGAAATTTCCAGGAGAGAGTCACAAGAGATAGTCTAAAATTTCTTTTTATTTTTTCAATGTTTTCTGACCTTTTAATTTGTTTGTTCTCCACTGACTGTAGAGGACGTGGATGCTGTCCCAGCTGCTAAAATGCGAGACCACAGAATGGTAAGGAACCAGTTATAATTTTTTAAACTATTGGGAGACAAAAGTTTTTAGGAATATAAGTGAGCATTCCAATTTTGAATTTTCAGGAATAGTGAATTAAAGATTTTAAATCTTGCCTCATCACCACAGTGGGTAGATAGCTAGAGATGTATTAGTATAATATGTAGACAGTGTGTGTTGTAAGTAAGAGCTGTGCTGTTCAGGTTAATTTGTTTTTAGCTGTGTGACTTCAGGCAAGGTATTTAATTTTTCTGTGACTCAGCTCCCTAATCTGGGATTATAATAGTACTTGCCTGAGGGTGGCTGTGAGGATTAAATTCAGTAATATTTGCATGGCACGTAGGGACAGGCCTAGCATGTAAAAATTTAATTGAATGTTTATTAAATAAAAAATAGCTGAAGGGTTGTTGCGAGAATGAAGTGAGATAAATACTAAAACCCCGAGAACAGGTCCTGGCCTGTAATGAGTGTGGGATTCGTGTTTGCTGCCGATAGAAGTAGTGGAGGTGGGAGTCTGTAATACAAGGAGTGGTGAGGCCCATGGAGAAAATGAGGTAAGGGTTGTCACTCTTACCTTCAGGAAGTGACATCTGTGCCAAGGCTGAAAAAAGGTTAGGGATGAGTCATTTTCACGCAACAAATATGTACTGAATACTTACTGTGGGCCAGATATTCTTGGTGCTGCGGCTACAGGAGTGAACAAAAGAACAGAAATCCATGCCCTCTGAGGGCTTACTTTCTGGTGGTACGTGGGAGAGACAACAACATATATAGTATCTTCAACCATGGGGTCTGGAGAAAAATCATAGCCAGGAAAGGGGGTACTGGGGTGACAGTTTACAGTTTGAAATACAGTGGTCATGGAAGGCCTCACTGAATAGGTAATATTCAAATAAGGACACCAGGGAGGCGGCCATGTGAAATATTGGGGACACATCTGCAGGAAGCAGGGGCCCCAGGTGGGCGCAGTGAGAAGGCCAGGGAGGCTGACGAGCCATGAGCGAGAGAGGGGGAAGGGCGGACTCAGAGCCTCGGGGGCTCTCGGGGTTTTGCCTGGGTGCACGTGAGGAGTGACGCGATCAGTTTCATGTTTTAACATGATCACTGACTGCTATTCATCGAGAATAGACGGGGGGGGACAGGAGGCTACTGCTGTGATCTAGGTAAGATGTAAAGTGACGCAGCCAGGGGTGGAAGCAGTGGGCGTGGTCAGAAGTGCGTGGATTTATTTTGAAAGGAGACCTGATAGGATTTTTGACACAGTGGAAGTGGAGTATGAGAGGGGTCAAAGATGGGCGTCAAGTTGCCATTTACAGAGATTGAGAAATAGGAAAAACAAATTTAGGGGTGGGGAAGAAAATCAGGAACTTAGTTCTAGACATAAGAAGTTTGAGACACTTATTAAACAGTTGGAGCTGGTGAGTAGACAGATAAGAGACAGAATTCAGGGGGAAAGATTGAGGTTGGAAATAAATGTACTCTTCACACACACTCATGATACAGGTAGTATTATTCCCATTTTCAGATTATAAAAGCAAGACTCAGCTAGGCTGTTAGTTGCCCAGGGTTACCAGTTGGCAGCTATTGGTGCTTCGTTTTGCGAGGCACTTGACATTTATTTCTCTGAAGTTCACAACAAAGGATGCTTATCCCTGTTTACATAAGAGGAAACTGCTAGCCCCTGGTCACACAGTCAGTAAGTAGGCAAACCCAAGCTGGACTCTAGAGGTCCTCCTGGCCCCATACTAATGGCCTGAGGCACACTGCCCCCTATTCTGCTATTCTGGGACACTCTGCAGGTTGGTATGTTTCTCTGTGCAGCCACATTTCTCAGTGAAAAGATACTGAAATTTAACATCTAGGATTTTGGTTAAAACCCTGGATTAATAATACTATATTCTGTTGAGTAGAAACTCAGCATAAGTCAACTGTTTATCTTGGCTTTTACAGAAAGGCTAATAAATTCTGGGCTCCTCACTTTCCTTAATATAAAAGGGTTTTTCCTGTATTTTCTGAGCACTAGATTGTAGTATCAGAGGGAAGATGCCATTCTCTTTTGCTAATTTTGGGGACAGTGGAGACTTGTGCCTCTTAGTACAGATTTTTTTCCACACAAGTCTAATAAAAATAGTAATTAATATGTGATGTTTCTTTTAGCCCAGAGATGACACTAATGATTTCTTGAAAAATTCATTATTGGAATCCGATAGTGCTTTTATTGGTGAGTATATTTATTTTATCAATCTACTTAAATACTTAACATATTTCTTTTAAGTGTTTTTCTTCATACTTACAAAACTGGTACCTTTTTGTTGTGCAAGGTGGTAAAAAAAAAGGAATATTCTGTTTTACTAACTTAGTGAGTAATTATAACTTAAAAAGTTTTCACAATCAGAATAACTAAAATGGACTTTATAATCAGGAACAAGGCTGCCCACTCTCACCACTTTTAGTTAACGTAGTACTGGAAGTTCCAGCCAGACCAGTGAGGCAAGAAAAAGAAAAGGCATCCATAGTGGAAAGGAAGAAGTCAAACTCACTATTTGCAGATAACATGATTTTATATATAGAAAATCTTAAAAGACTCATTAGAAAACTATTAGAAATAATACATGAATACAGTAAAGTTGCAGGGTAGAAAATCAGTATACAAAAGTCTTCTGTTTCTTTATACTAATGAACTATCAGAGAAATGAAGAAAACAATCCCATTTATAATTGCAAGAAAAATAATAAAATACCTAGGAATAAATTTAACAAAGGAGATGAAATACTTGTACACTGAAATCTATAAGACATTGTTGAAAGAAATTGAAGACGATACAAAGAATGGAAAGGTATTCCTTGTTCATGGATTAGAAGAATTAACATTATTAAAACGTCCATATTACCTAAAGTAATCTGCAGATTCAATACAATCCCTATCATAATCAAAATAGCTTTATTCACAAAACTAGAACAAATAATCCTAACATTCACGAAAGACCCCTAATTGCCAAAGCAATCCTGAGAAAAAAAATAAAGCTGGAGATACCACACTCCTGATTTCTGACTATACTAGAAAGCTATAGTAATCAAAACAGTGTGGTATTGTCATAAAAAAAGACCAATGGAGTAGAATTGAGAGGCCGAGGAATAAACCCACACATACGTAGGCAAAAAATTGATGGCAAAGGAGCCAAGAGCATACAATGGAGAAAGGAAAGTCTCTTTAAGTAAATGCTGTTGGGAAAACTGGACAGCCACGTGCAAAAGAGTGAAACTCGGCCACTACCTTACATCACACACAAAAATTAACTCAAAATGGACTTTGATATTTCAGGTCTTGACCTGAAACAATAAAATAGATAGAGGAAAACATCGACACTAAACTCTAGACCAGCGGTTTTCTCAACCTGTGGGTCGCGACCCTTTCACAGGGGTTGCCGGGTACTCGTATGTGGGCATATCTGCATGTGGGCCTGGAGACGGATAGAGGAGCGGTGTCTCGGTTCCTAATACCATTGAAAATATGTGTTTTCCGATGGTCTTAGGTGACCCCTGTGAAAGGTTGAGAACCGCTGCTCTAGACATTGGTTTCAGCGGTATTTTTGTGGATTTGACTCCAAAGGCAAGGGAAACAAAAGCAAAAATAAATAAGTGGGACTACATCAAACTGAAAATTTCTGCACAGCAAAGGAAACCACCAGCAAAACACAAAGGCAACCTACTGAGTGGGAGAAGATATTTGCAAATATTACTTCTGATAAGGGGTGAATATTAATATAAAGAACTGATACAGCTAAACAAAAAAAAAAAAGACTAAAAAATGGGCAGAGGATCTGAATAGACATTTTCAAGGAAGACATACAGATGGCCAAACAGACATATGAATAGATGTTCAACATCAGTAATTATTAGGGAAATACAAATCGAAACCACAATGAGATTATCACCTCATACCTGTTAGAATGGCTATCATCAACAAGACAAGAAATAAGTGCTGGAGAGGATGTGGAAAAAAGGGAGCCCTCATACACTGTTGGTGAGATTGTAAATTGATGCAGCCGCTATGGAAAATGCCTTGGAGGGTCCTTAAAAAATTAAGAAAGGAACTGCCATATGGGTATGTTCCAGAGAATATGAAAACACAAATTCTAGAAAGATGTATGTACCTCCATGTTCACTGCAGCATTATTTACAATAACCAAGATATGGAAACAACCTAAGTGTCCATCAATGGATAAAGGGATAAAGAAGATATGATTGTATGTATGTGTGTGTGTGTGTATGTGTATACACAGAGACACAATGGGTAATAAAGGGCCACAAAAAAAGATGAAAACATTGCCATCTGGGACAACATGGATGAATCTTGAGAGATTATTCTAAGTGAAATAAGAAAAGGACAAAGTCCATATGATTTTACTCATATATGGAATATAAAACAAAGTAACAGATGAACTAAAACAAAAACAAACTCATAGATACAGACAACAGAATGGTGGGGTTACCAGAGGCGAAGGGGGTGAGGGAAGAGTGAAAAGGGGGTCAAAAGTGTAGACTTCCGATGGTGAGCATGCAGTACAGTATACAGATATTGAGTTCTGATGTTGTATGCATGGAATGTGTATAATGTTATTAACCAATAAAAAACTTAGAAACCCCAAACACCCCACAATATCATTTAGCACCCCACTCAGAAAATAAATAATATAAATCTTATGCCCCCCCCAAATAAAAAGATTTATATAAGGACAATTACAGACTCTTGAAAGAAATAAAAGAACTAAACTGAGTGATAATATTCCATGTTCATGAATTGTGAACCTCAATATTGTAAATATGTCAGTTCTTCCCAACTTGATCTATAGATTAATTGCAATCCCAATCAAAATCCCAGCATGTGATTTTGTGGGTAGCTGATTCTAAAATGTATATGGAGAGGAAAAAGGGCCAACACAATACTGAAGGAGAAAAATAGAGTCTGAGGACTAACACTACCTGACTTTAGGACTTACTACAATATAAAGTTACGGTAATCAAGACAGTGTGGTATTGGGAAAGATTAGACAAATAGATCAATGGAACAGAATATAGACCCACACAAGTATAGTCAACTGATCTTTGAAAAAAGAGTAAAGACATTGTAACTGAGGAAAGATAGTCTTTTCAGCAAATGGTGTTAAAGCTGGACATCTACATGCAAAACAAAACCAACCTAGACACAGGCCACGCACCCTGCACAAACATCAACTAAAATGGACCATTGGCCAAAAGGTAAAATACAAAACTATGAAACTCCTAGAAGATAACATAGCAGAAAACTTTGAACTTGAGTATGGCAGTGATTTCCTGGATATAACAACAAAGGCACAATCCATGAGAGAAATAACTGATAAACTAGACGTCATTAAAAAGTAATGCTCTGTAAAAGACAAATTCAAGAGAATGAGAAGATAAGCTACAGACTGGGAGAAAATATTTAGAACAGATAAATCTGATAAAGGACTTATCTAAAATATATGAACTCTTAAAACTCACCAATAAGATAATTACCCACTTAAAAGATCCAAACAGACATTAAGACATACAGATGGCAAATAAGCATATGGAACATTATTAACAAAACAATGAGATACCACTGCACACCTATTAGAATGGCCATAACCTAAAACCGATATCACCAAATGCTGGTGAAGATGTGGAGCAACAGGAACGTTCACTCATTGCTGATGGGAACGCAAAATGGTGCAGCCGCTTTGGAAAACAATTCGGCGGTTTCGTATGAAACTAAACACACTTTTACTGCAATCTCACTCTGTGGTCTAAATGTCTAACCACTATGGTGTACACCTGAAACTAATATATTATTGAATGTCAAGTGTAATTAAAAAGTTTAAAAAAATTAACAAGATGGACATACCAGGTATTGGTGAAGATGTGGGCAAACTAGAACTTCCTTATAAAATGGTACAACCACTTTTGAAAATGGTTTGGCACTTCCTCAAAGGCTAAATGTGGAGTTAACATAATACCTAGCAATTTCACTCCAAGGAATATACGCCAAAGAAATGAATGCATATGGCCACAAAAAGACATGTACGTGAATGTTCATAATTGTATATTAATTGCCAACTACCATAGAAACAGTTCAAATGTCCATCAACTGGTGAATGCATAGAGAAAATGTGATGTATCCATATGACTGTCTATTCAGCATAAAAAAGAATGAACTGATATATGGTACAACACAGATGAACCTCACACACATTATGCTAAGTGAAAGACACGTTACGTTGTATAGTTTCATTTCTGTGGACCCTCAGGAAAGGTAAATCTGTTGAGAATGACAGCAGAGCAGTGTTCACGCTAGGCTGGGCAGGTGGGAGCAGGAGTGATTGGCAGTGAGCACAAGGCAACTTTTTGAGGCGATAGAACTTTTAAAACTAGGTTATAGCGATGATTGCACAACTCTATAAAAATCATTGCACTACATACATGTATAGTGGGTGAATTTTATTATGTGTAAATAACATCTTAATAAAGCTAATCAAAAGCGGTCTTGGTTTAGCTGAGAAAGACTGAAAATGGGATGGTTAAGAGCTGCCCTGTGTGGTCCCCCAGGTGCTTACGGCGAGACGTACCCTGCCTTTGAGGAGGACGCGTTCCCTCCACCATCACGGCTGCCCTCTGCCAGAGAGCGCAGGAGGAACAAACAGAAGGGCCTGGACTTTGTACGTATGAAATGCCCTTTTCTTTTTTCCTTTGCAGTTTATGAGTGAGCGGTCTGGGTTCTGACCCCTGCTAATTGGTGTGGGCCGATAAATGAAGAGCACTTGCTGTGGAATGAGGGGGACATGCGTCTGAATCGAGGCTCTGCCACCAAATAGCTGGGTGACCTTCAGCAGGCCGTTGAACTCAGTGCCTTGGCGTCTTCAAAGTGATCTTTTCCTATTTCCGAGGGTGGCTGTAAGTGGAAGCTTAGTACCTGGCACAGTCTTTGCTCTATAAATTTTAATTCCTAACCCTCACCTCCCTCCTGCAAACATGGATTTCAGAGAAGGTGCAAGAAGTACCTGACTATGTGTTGCAAAGCTTGCTTCCTCCCTCAGTCACCGAAGCCTATTATAATGTATAGACATTATACATCTTCGTTTTCCAAAGGTCACATGGACAGGAAGGCTGATATTCAAACCCGATAGGGTAGCCAATAAAACGTGCAGGTTTTGGGCAGTTTCTTAAACTGTTTTCTTATAGATGACATTGAGATGTTATATATGCGGTGCATTAACACTGAGCCAAGTATGCAGGAGGCTCTCAGCAAACGACAGATGCTGTTATTAGCTTTACTCTGTGTGTAGCTTGACCAGGTGGCGATAACTTGGTTGTTTCCCTAGCAACCACTAACCTACTTTCTGTCTCTGTAGATTTGCCTTTTCTGGACCATATAAATGAGATCACACAATATTTGGTCACTTGTGACTGGCTTCTTTTTTCCCCAAAGGTCATCTAAATTATAACACTTGATTCCTTTTTATTGCTGAATAATATTCTATTGGGTTGTCGGAAGTCATGATGTACTTTTTTGTTTTTCGTTGCAAAAATGTGTCGTGACTTTTCCGACAACCATATGTGTGTGTGTGTGTGTGTGTGTGTACACATACATATATATATATATATGGATATTCCATTTCATTTATCCATTCAGCACTTGATGGACATTTGTGTTTCTACTTTTTATCAGTTTTCAATACTGCTGCTTTTACCATTCGTGTGCAAGTGTTTTGATGTTTTCATCTCTCTTGTGTATATACCTAGGAGTAGAATTGTTGGTTTATATGGTACCTAAGTTTAAGCATTTTGAGGAACTGACAAACTGGTTTCCACCTTTATCCAGTCTGGCAGCATTGATATGTTATCAGAAATGCATTGCCTTTATCAGAGACTGTACAGATACAATATGTATGCTATAGATTTTCATTTGTTTTATTTTGTACATCACACTACATGTATTGAGGGGCAAGAATGTGTTTTGATTTACTGATTTATTCTGAGCATTTTATGATCATTTCTGAAGCTCTATTTTCTAACTACAGGATAACAGTCGTCCTAATGTACCGCCAGATGGTCTCTCATTAAAATCTGTATCCAGTGTAAATATTGATCAGATTAGAATGAGAAATGAGGAACGAATGCGAAGACTGAATGAACTTCAAAATAAACCTATTAATACAGGTAAAGGCCAAGTCTCATGGCCTCCAGCAGATTCTAAGCAGTCAACCTGCTTACGTGGGAGTCTCCACTGATGGCTGGGGGACAGATGGAATGAGTTTTGAATTCGTTCGAGTCACAGGGCCGAGAACACAGCAGCTATCCAGCAAAACCAGGACTCAGGACAAATTTTGCGTCAGATTCTTTCGACCTTTTTTGAGTGGATTCTAAAGAGCAATTTTTTGCTTATAACTACATCCAGGCTTTGCTTTCAGGGAAAATGCCCATTAGGATCAGCATCACACTTTCCCTATTGAAGCGAGAGGCTACCAGAAATTAACTTTAAAGCTTTGAGTTCTTTAGCTAACACACATCTGTAATATTACGAAGAAAATTTTACCTTTTTACTTGGCTTTCTGTACCGCGGACACAGCAAAATAGCCTCAGGTTAACATTTCCTTTATAGAAGCCGAAGTTTGGTCTTCTCATTCTTTTGGGTTTCGCGGTCCCATTGCTTTGGGGACCAGCAGGTTAAATAAAGCTTATTCATCGAGCACAGGCAGGCAGGACAGTTCTTAGGCAACCGATGGGCTCCTCTGCCATGCCAGCCCTGGACCACCTTTTCAATGTTGATGTTAATTAGTTATTAGGTGAATTAGTTATTAGGATAATGGGACAATTTTATAGTACATAAGTCCTATTAGTTTTAGCAAATAGTGGAATGGTCTATTTGGACAACTTTAGTCTGTTAAGCTACAGTACAATAATTTTCTAATAAGGTATTTTTCGATCTTACTTTTAATACTGTGTTAAAACTGTACTTACACAATCTCTAGCAGTGAAGCTGTTGTGTGTACTGATGGTAATTCCATATCAAATACCAGCAAACATTGTAAATTGATGGAACAGTACTTATATACCTGGAAAAATGTGAAAACAGTGGGAAAGCTATGCTTTCTCTTTAGCTAAACATTTTCTTTTCATCTGTATTGCAAAATTACCAATTCCTTAATTTTCTTTTAGAACTAGTAAGTTGAATTAATATTTAACAGGGATATATTTAATTTGAAACAAGATAGAGCATTTTAAGAATCTACTCTTTCAGTAGGTTTTTAACTTCTAAACTTTTTTTTTTTAACATTGTCCTTTCAAACAGGAGCTTTTTGGTACGATGTGGATTGATTGCTCATTAAATTACACAGGTCCCTTTGCTGGGCTAATCCTTTACAGACCAGGAGATGTAATTTAAAAATAAACAAAAAACAAACTGACATCACAGGGTAGGAAGACAGATTTTCCTATTATTATATCTGATAAGTAAAATACAGAAGTACAATCAATTTAAAGAATGAAACAAATTAAGAGCTACCTCTTAATGGAGTAGACACAACCTCTTAGTAAGGATGGAAGTAATTTCATCTTATTTTTTCCTAAAATGACTTTGAATTTCCTCATGGTAGTGTTATAGGTTGGGAGTATTTCCAAAACATCCCCCAATTAAAAAAAACAAACACGTTTTGCATGGTATTGTTTCTCCTGAAGGTGACACAAAGTAAAATGGCTTACCTTCCTATGGTCAACTCAATATTTATTGGGTGAGGTCTGCTCTGCTGTCCTTGGGATCCCTATGGGGCTGGAGTCACCGTCTTCATTTGATCACTTTTTGTTTCATAAAATTGGCTCCCTTCCTGGGTTTGCTTTCCTATCTCTAAAATGAGGGTGTCTGGACAAAACAGTACAGTTTAGAACAAATTGTAGAGAAATGGAGCTGTAATGGGTTAGACCAGGGGCCAGCAAACTGCGGCTCGTGAGCCACACGCGGCTCTTTGGGTATGTACATGTGGCTCTGGAGTAAAATTCAAAATGAAAATAAAACTATCAGTTTCATTTATAAAATTTTTAAAGGATATTATTCACATAATGGTGATTATTTCATTTGTTTTATGGCTCTCGAATAATTTTTAAATTGTTATGAGGGACAAAATTGGCTCTTCTGTCTCAAAAGTTTGCCGACCCCTGGGTTAGACTATAGGACGTCTGTGTTCGTATTATCTGCCTGCCACCCACCTGAGTCATGTCTCTCTTGCCTCCTTTAGATGACGAGAGTTCACTGGTTGACCCTGATGACATCATGAAGCACGTGGGTGACGACGGATCAAATTCTGTAGCAACTGAACCCTGGCTCCGCCCGGGCACTTCAGAAACGCTGAAACAATTCATGGCAGAGCAGCTGAGCCAAGAGCAGCAGCAGGTTCTTGGAAAACCAGGCACTTTCAATTGGCAGGGCCTGTCTACTGCTCACGGGTAAATAAACCTGGACTGGACCAGCAGTGCCTTTTAAGGTGAAAGAATGTGAACCCTGAACCAGTAGTGTATGTGCCACTTGTTCCTTACCTGAAAAGTTACTGATGTTCCCTCTGTGTATAAGGTGTATTTTTTCCATGACAATGTATATAGTGTATATTATGTACATAAATAAAAGGCCATGATTAATTTATATATAATGTAGAGTTGTACAGATTTATTTTTGCAAAATTTTGTCATAAATTAGGGTGGCAATGAACTCTTGGAATCAACTACCATATGTGCATTATTGTAAATTCTGCTTGTCAGTAAGATAAGGTGAATAAAACACAAGTGTCTTAATAGTCCTATAAAACCAGAAAACCCTATGTACATTTGCCACTGTTACTGCTATTCAAAATAATTTACTAGTAAGTACATTGGTTGTAGCTGTGACTATTCCAGTTGCTACATAATGAATCAAATGTACTAGTCATTTCCACGTCATTTATAGCTAGTGATTCAGTATAAATGATGGGAATCATAATTGATTTTATTCCCTTGAGCCATGCACTAAATGTTACATCTTTCTGCCTCTATTTTTGTGCCAATGAAGGCTCTAAGTTTACTAATTTATATGATTGAATTACTTACGGATAGAAATAAATTATTTTTATTACTAATGTTGGTTTCTTATTTTAACTGGAATTGAGGTCCCTAACAGGGTGTTCTGGAAGCTGAAGAGGCAGGAACACCCAGGGTCAAGGACAGGGACCAGAATCCTTGGGGCGCCCGCCATCATGACCCTTGGATGAGTGAGTCCATCTTTCTGATATCTCCGTAAGAGGAAGTAAGTGCCTTTAAAATAGGAGGATTAATTCAAATTCTGGGAAATAATTCTTATTTAGAGTCCTTAGCACCAGGACAGCTGAGAATACTCCCAGGCACTGCTTCTTGCAAGTTCCCACTGACATAATTAATGGCAGATGAGATAACTTTACCTAGTGTGAAATTTGATACTTTGAATTTTAGCAACATGTAAATTTGATAATTTACTTAACTGTAAAGATTTTTCTTGTATCTTCATCTGAAAGATGTAGGCCTCTGTCTCCTATAGGAAGAGGCCTGCTATTATACCATAAAACAAACCACCAGGTTATTTGAAACACTTACTCTCAGACCAGAAGGTCATGGTGACTCCCAGCTTCCAAGGCAGGTGACTCCCAACTGTAGTATCCAGCTGGACTTGAACAGGGCTGTGTCTTGAGGGTAATAAATATGGTGGATTTATAAATGAATCATTAATAACTGCTCGTTACCTAAGAGAGGTATGAGAGTAAAGCCTGAATACTTACCCTGTTTTTGAACACAACACTCAAATTGTCTTGACATGTCCATTTTCTTTTTTAATGTCATTGTACCACGAAACTTAAACTGGCTCCTAATATACAATGCCTTACTGCCAACTGCCCCAAAGGGAACTTTAAGGCTACACTATTTGAATAATGAGAGAAAGTGCTATTCTTGGTTAATACACAAAATATTAAATTATAAATATCCTGTGGTAGAGAAAACAGGGAGAATCTAAGGCCAGGAACGGGAAAGAAAATACCAGAACTAAACAATACTGAATTTGCAGCTCCGGCTGAAAATATCCTTTCCTTAGCTGTTTGGCTCTTGATAAAAAAAAAAAAAAAAGAAAAAGAAAAAGAAAACCAATGAAACATGGGGCTGTGGATTACACAGGTTTTGATTGCACTGATGAAATAATCCAAAAACTTTATTGACCTATAACCTGATTTGAATGCCAGATGAGAATCAATATTGTACAGAAAGTTGTACAGAATTTTTTTTACATAGAAAACTTTACATCTGTACCATATACATTTTATCCACCTGAAAAAATTTTCTACACCCACTGTTAATATGGAATGCTTGACAATCTTGTCATTTTTTTAACCATCAGAGCACAATTCACAGTATGAATACATTTCCAGTCAATCTAACCTCCTCAAACCATGCCAGATTTGTTATTTTAATATATTCAACATTCTGTACATAGAGTAAAATCTACATCAAGCCCCGCCACCAAAAGAAAAGAAAGTGACAGCAACCTAGATTCATTTTGCAGTGATTCAAGTTTCGGTCCGTGAAGGATCATTCTATTTCAATGGCTCATGTTTAAAAGCCCTAAGAGAAGTATATTACAGGTAGTCATGTCAGGGATAGCTCCTACCCTTCTTTTGTCGTTGGTCATGACAAGTGTCAGCCATAACAGCTTCTGGGCATGTTAAACCTTCAAAGTTACCACCCACCCCCAAAAAGGGCAAAACCAAAATCCCCACAAAATAAAAAAAGACAAGAAGTTCAACCCAAATGTTTAGTGCATTTGACAAAATATTATAGGTATTTAGCAAATGAATAAGAAAATAAAGAAAATAAAACAGTGCAGGAAGAACTATATAATGTTTAAGATTCTTATATTACAGGCCTGCATCTCTGTACATTTTTCACAGAAGGATGATTAGCAGTATCTCAGACAGCCTGAGTGTGCAAAAATCTTCAGAATAAGAATACCATAGTTGCTAAATATCTTTTACCATGAACAATAATTTCTTCTCCCCCACTCCCCAGTTATAAACATTTTATCCTTCAAAATACAGCTCTCCTGAGTTGTACTTCTTGCAGAAGTTCAAATCTTTACAGCTCTAGTTCTTTGGGTAAGTTAGACTTCCACACCTGCCAAGAATCTGTGGGGCTCTCCCTGCCGCTGAGCAGGGAAGGGCACGTGAGCACAAGCTGACCCGGAGACTGGCTCTCTGCTCAGCGGGAGCCCAAAGACAAACAGGACCCATCAGATCACTGAAAGGACCGGAGCGCTGCAAGTCTGAGTCCGAGTTCTAAGATCTTCACCAGCAACCTTTAGACACTGCAATTCAGAGAAACCATTTTTCAGGTAGGAAACCTCAGCTCCAGGGTCCTTTGAAAGAGCAGAGGGATGTAAACGCCAACAGAAAAATACTAATTTCCCATCACTGCTTGCTTGGTCCGAGTTCCTGTTCAGGCGGTTGTGATATCTGAAAAACAACTCCGATTCGCAGAAAAAATCTTCTAAGAACAGCACGAAGTTCAGGAATCAAGTCAAATTGCATAATTTCACATAAGAGAGGGTAGTAGAAGGATGCGTGAGCTTTAAACTGGGAGGGAAAAGGAATTCTGTTAGTAGGGCTTGCGTTCCAAACCACAGAGCCTAAAACTGCCTTTGGAGTGAAATCATTGTGGGGCGAGCCCCCACCACTACAGACAGGAAATGAAAGGTGAAGCGGTGTCTGCACCGATTACAGAACTGAAAGACAGACACGCTCAGAAGACTCGCCTCATACAAGCAATCGCTTAGTTATCTACTTTATTTTGAAAAACATTTCCCATTACATTTCCTTGATAAACTTACGACAAACTTCTAGTATTTGTCATTGTTTTTAGCAGGTAATGAAAGAAGCCAAGCAGGAACCACAGTTGAGTTTTTATAAGCTATGTAAGGGCTACTGAAGCTGGATCTTCTATTTGTCAAAGTTTTAATTTCCAGGGGAAAGTCGACCTAACATGGCAATGTAAACTATACAGTCTCCAGGCAGAGAGTAGACATTCTATATTACAGTTCAATTGGTGTGCTTGGTACCTGGTGCTGTAGGCCCTTAACCTCTGAACACTAGTTACCTGCCTGCTTCCTCTCTGCTTTGCTCTCTGCGCCCCACAAGGTACAAGGAAGCAGCGTGACGTACTGTGGCAAGAAAGCAAACTGTGGCATAAGACTCAGGTCTGGAGTCCTTCCCGGCCACATGGCTGCTAGTACACAAGGTCACTTCTCTGAGCTTTCACTGGCTCAGGAGTCAGAGGGAAATGCACATGGACCCAGAGCACGTGACTCGAGAGGGACATCTGTGCGGCACCAGGTGTCATCGTGGTGGCCTCCATGGTCCCGTGTACCAACCACCATGGCCCAAAGTGTCAAACGTCAGGCCGCCTGACTAGGCATTTTACACCTATTCAGGGATCACAGAAGCCCATTTCTATGTAAGTCAGCTGTAAACTGCTGTATTTTTAAAGAGTGAAAAGTATATTATATATATAAATATATCTACAGCTATATATTTGTCTTTTATCTTACTTTCTACTGCTTTGAAATTCTTAAATGAGTTTATGGCCCATTCCCTAGGATTTCTGGGGCCCCTGGAACTGATGCCCAGGCCTGGGGCCCAGATGGAGCCTCGGGTGAGGGCGGAGCACCAGGCAGGGGGCTGGACAGCTGTCCTCAAAATGGGTCGGATGGGAGATCTCCAGGGGTCAGAACGGGAATTGCAATGTGGGGGAACCCAGGAGCTTGACAAAGTGTCCTAAAGGATTCCAACCCCTCCCCTACTGAATTGCCCACAATCACTGATGAGAGACCAAGTGGGGTGACCAGAGGAAGGCCGAGGGCCAATGAGACCGAGCCCAGCACAGAGAGGCCCGGGGGCGGGTCAGCCAGCTGGCACCCCCGCCTCCCACGCGGGCACAGCGCTGGCAGGCTAGAAATGCGGGGCTGGATGTGATGCCGCATACTTACCCTGTTATCGCTTATCTTTAGAACTTTAGTCAGAAACAAAAGCAGGAGGTTAGTCCAGGCCTCGCGATGACTCTCTGATGTTAGAGTGAGGAAGTAACTCAGGGCTTCACTGCAGACACTGCAACAGAAAAGGGGTACATGAGCTTGACCCCCTGCTGGGACGGACACCCACGGAGAGAACTAAGCCGCGGCAGAGCAGATATTAACCATTAAGAAGGACCCTGCTAGCTCCATCTGTTTATGTGAAAGACTGTCAGCAAGAACATTCATGTTTTCAAATTAGGAAGAAAACCAGGTATAACGGAAGCCATTGAAGCTTTTCAGGAAAGCCACATTTTCCGAATTTTCTAAGTTTCACTGAATTCGAAGTCACTGTAGGAGCACACGTGTAAGCTTTGCGCTGAGAGACCTGCGCTGGCATCTGGGTGGCTCTTTACCTCACTAGCTGTGTGGTTTAGCCTCTTCTGGGGCCTTAACCGTCTCGTCAATAAAAGGGGCAGACAGACAAGACGAGCGCTTAGAGTCCTGAAATGTATCTAACTGGTCTCTGAGGGCGTCCAGTCCTCAGGGAGATACAGAAACACAACTCAGATGACAGCCTTCTTTCTGAATGGCACGCTTCATTCTTAGCATGAGTTTCAACGTTCAAGGACAGAATTCAACTTGTCATTAAATAAAAAGCAACACCAAGAAAACCTCCAAATATTTTTTCAAACTAAATACAGGCAGGCAGGTTTTCACTTTCACAAATGATCGGTTTGTAAAAATGGAGCTATCTATGGCACAAAAGAAGCCTATATAAAGTTTTTAAATTTTAAGAGATAAAAACTTCCTCCTTTGGCCTATAGTAACAACGGACATGATTTGTTCATCTGTCACCAACCGTGCAAAAGCGCATTCAGCTCTAAGACCATATTTAATTATCTGCTTGGCCCCGCAGCTCCTGATCAGGGGTGGGGTGTGGGCGTCACCCTGCGTACGAGCCCAGGGGCCCTTCCTGGCTCTGGACCCCACAGCCGCAAGGGTGAAAGGCAGAAACCCAGCCATGAGTCTTACTTTAAAAGCCTTTGCTGGACCTCCTCCCAGGCACTAACCCGGCTCTCGTCCATGTACATCCGGAAGAGGATGCGCAGCCCGCAAGCCAGGCTGCTCGTCTCCTGCTTCAGAAGGTTGGGTTTGGACTTGCCCTTGAAGCCTGCAGAAAGGGGGCATTTCGGGATTAGTTTGGGAAGGCATCTCACATGCAGGCACAGCAGCCTGTATGGCAGCTCGTTCTGTGTGAGTTCAGCCATCACATCTGCTGCTTACAAAGCAGGGCTTCCCTGGGCCACAGCAGCCTGCGCCCCGGCCTTGGTGTCCTGGAAGTGGCCCTCAAGGACAGGAGTCACATAGAGAAGATATGCCGTGACTGTGCAGGGAGGCCAGGCTGGAAGGCCCAACCTGAAGAAGGCAATTTCTGTGTTTAGAATTTCCTTCCCTTTCAAGCTGGGGATACGAGATACAAAACACGCCGGCCTGGGAAAGTGGATGTCTTCAAATGACGCTGCACTGAAAGCCCCGTACGGCCTGGTGCCCGTGAGCGGGCAGCCCCTGTGGCAGGGAGGCTGCGGGCAAGGCCGGCAGTACCCAGGGCCCGGCGCGTGTGCAAAAGGGAGTCTGCCGACGTTGGCAGGGCATCTCAGCTGGATGGTGGCAACTTGGGTTGCAGGGGAAATAATAAGTTCGGACTACTCTTTCCAGAAGTTAGGTTGTGAAGGGAAGAGGATAAACAAAACCATGGGCTTAATTAGGAGTTAAACAGATATTTTAGATCAACGAAAATAGGCCAGTGTAAAGCACCCAACAGTCCATTTTGCACAGGTTGACGTTCAATGAACATCCAGCTCCCTGCTTCCTTTTTTCTGCCATATGCAGCTCTTCCAGTGCTGTTTGCAACTGTTAGGCACTGAGTAACTATTTCTCAAATAAAAAATTAACAGTGTCGGTAAATTAATTACTATAAAGCTTACTTATTTAAAATTTCCGACATGTTCTAGAACAAATGTACCTCCCCACTTCAAAACGTTCACTTCCAGTCTGAGGGACAACCACTCCCAGGTAAACATGGAGAAGTCACTTAAATACAAATGTCAGATTTTATGTTCAGGACCTCCACACACTTTTTCTCATAAAAGGGCAGCTTTTAGTATTGACAGTATCGACAGGAAGGCCCAGGCCTGGAAACAAGATGATAAAATGATTGGTCAAATCCATCAAATAATGGGTTTATTAAACAAGGGGAAACGAATATACCCAGGCAGTTATGTGGCTTAGTGAAGGCCCGCGAGAGGCCTGGTTGGTAGACCGCCTTCCTATTGTAAGTGTTAGGGTAAATGTTCAAACAGCGACAGGCACAACCTGAAGCTCACACTCAATGAATTCTGATAAATGTACATATCTGTTGTACGTCCATTAATGGTGGCGCTAAAATGTGAGACCCATGCAGCTTACCTGCTTTCCACAGAGCAGTCCTCTGTTCGTTGTTAGAATTAAATGCCTTTGCAAATCTATGTGACTCTAATAAGCAGTCTAGGAGCTTAAAAAGCTGTTGTGATGTTAAAAAGCGGTACATTCCTTGGTCTTGAGTATCAACTCGAACATCAAAGTCCACGGCATCTCTCTGGAAAACAAACCACCACAGTGCACACACATGCGCACACGCATAGTCACAAATTTTGGTAAATTTAGAACTCAGTGCTCTCCAAAGACCGGATTTATGAGCAAGACGTAGCATTCACTCTATTATTCTATCTCAACAGAAAATAGGAAAAGGCCCATCTTTTGCTATGGAATTTCCAGTATCTCCATTCGATGCTTCCTAGTCACCAAGCACCACCTCCTATCGCTCCAGTTCCCCCCTAATTTCTGACTCCAGGAGCGCAGCCCCGACCAGATCCCACAGCTATTCTCCAGTCCCTTCACTACTGCTCGCAGTCAGGTCCTCACTTCTCTTCCTAACCAGGCTGGGATCCATGGACTGCGATTATGATTACTCCCTTGCGTAACCCCTCACCTCCTCTTTACAATAATCGTTTGGCAAAACCGCCTACTCCACGCCTGCGCATACACTAAACGTGTGTGGAGAAAAATGACTTCCTCTTTAAATCCTGTGGGCTCTGGGTGCTGCCCTGCAATCCTCCTGCGCTTCCCTCGTCTATTTCCCTGGACCACTCACTCATGTTTTCACTTCTCTCCTCGAGAAGCTGCAACTTTCTTCCCACCCTCCCTTGGTGGATGGCTTTTCTTCTTATCTCAATGAGAAATGAGAAGCTTTCAGATCTCCCACAAACTCCCATCAGCAAATGGACTGACATTCCTGCCTTCATAACCCATCCACTTTGCTTTCCTTCCTGCTGCAATGCATGAACTGTCTCTCTTCTATCTAAGACAACTCTGGGGACTGTGCCCTAGGTCCCATCTCCACGCACTCAAAAAGGCTGCTCTGGAACTGCCCCTGTCCCTGTCTGCGCTCTCAGCAGAGAACCTGCTGCAAGATGCAAGTCTTAAAGACAAAACCAAGCACACCCTTCTCTTGACACCCGCATCCTCCACCCGCCATTACCCCATTTCTCTGCACCCCTTTTGCAGCAAAGCTTGTGATGGTTATCAGTAGCAGCTGTCTGCAATTTCTCTCTCCTCTTGTACACATTAGGTAATTAACATTACAGTTAAACATAAGGTCAAGGTCACGCAAGTCCACCAAATTACTAAAGGGCAAATCCCAGACTATCACCTGACCTTCTTTTCAAAGCACTTTCTGCACGTGACTTCCAGGACAACACTGTCTCCTGGTCTCCTCCTGCCTCACTGCTTCTTGTTCTGGCTCTTTACCAGCTGCCTCATCACCTGGCGCTCTAAACCGCAGAGGTCTCAGGACTCGGTGTCTGGCCGTCCTCTCTCAGCTCTGCCCACACTCACTACTTCCATCATGTCGTCCAGCCACACGGCTGAAAATGACATCAATGTGATGGAAGATGTGCCCAAACTCAATCTCTAGCTTGGCCTCTTCTCTGAAGCGCAGACTGTTAAGTTCACTTTCTACTCCACCAAAAAGCACGGTCCGCACACCTCCTTACCTGCGCTGCAGCTAAGTTTTCTGCATCTTCCTTCTTACTCGTGGCTGGGAAGAACACAATGTTGTCGATAGTCTGGATGAGTTCCAGCTGCACAACACATTTAATCAACAGGGCGGCAAACAATTTTTGTTCTGGATATTCTGTGAGGAAACCCACCCCAATGCACATGCAAACAAAATTATTTTGAATCCTTTATCATTTCTGTGACATTACAATGCTAAGGAAACATTACTACGTCGTATGAAGATAACTTGCATGTATCACACTGAGAAGGACATACTGCTTTTGCACATAAGCACTACTCAGTAAAAGTTTGATTTAATCAACATTTAGAAAAGCCATAGAAAATTTTTAAATAAAAATATCCCAAATGACTCAGAACACTGAATAACCAAGAAGATTTAGGTTACTCTTTAATAAAACATTAATAAATGGATCAAAAGCTAAAACTTGAATATCATTTACTGCACACCCAAGTTTGACCTCTGAATACAGGGAATATGAAAACCTACACTAAAAGAAAACAGGAACTAGATCTGTAAGACTGAAAGTGAAAGACAGCCAAGGCTTCTGACAAATGGGGCAATATTGCAGGTTAACCAAAGCACATGTTATATTTGGATCCATGTTGGTAGTTGTACCTAAAATGACCTTACATTTTCAAATGGACCCATAAGCAGAGAAGTGTACAAAAAGTTATGCTAAGTGCATTACGACAAAAGTAACCCAACTGCACAGTAACGAAGTGCTCTCCACACTGCCCAGGTGGGCTTAACAAGGCTGCCATCCTCTAACCTGAATAAGTTTGTTCCACAGGACGTTTCTGACAACCCCACCACCTGTAAGGACATGGTCATAAAGGAACTTTCTCTTTCACTGACCACCCCAGTTGAGCGCCAGGTTAGGAAAGATGACAACTATGGAAATGCTGCAAGCACTGCCTGGCAGAGCTGACACGTGGCTCCGGGGGCAGCTGGCCCCACAGACACACCTCGATCCTGGTCTCAGGAGCAGCTTTCCAGGAGGCAGGTGACTGCCCCAGGGGAGCTGTCTGTCATTCTGTCTCAGGGCAATGGCTCCAGCACTGGATGAATTATAATTCTTCTGTTTCTTTCTATTTTCGCTTTAATTACAAATTCCCTTTTCTGGGCACCAATTTGTGGAAGTAAAATTCATGTTTCAGGGATTCTGGGGGTAGCAAAATAACTTTCTTCATTAAATTTATTCTGATTTTTTTTTTTTTAGCTCATTAATAAAGGCTCCTTTCCAGGTAGTTTTCAGAAATGCTGCTGTATTTAACACTTAGTTCTTAGTACTAGATCTCAGGTAAAACAGAAAAGACAGACAGCAGAGAAGCCCACAAGCCCCATGGCTGTGTCTTCCTCTCAAGTATCTCCTTCCTAGTCCTAACCAGGCACGGCCAACACGTACCGCCCATTCCTTCACCTCCCTCATTCCCGTCATAAAAACATCCTCTGTCGCAGGAGGAGACTCCCGGCAGCACAGCTGGGACTCTGAAGGGACCTGGGAGAAGGCTGCTGTCTACCGGACGCGCTCTCCTCAGCGGCTGCTCACGGGTGGCCTGAGGGTCTGGCCGAGGAGGATCCACTGGGCTGAACGAGGGGAGCTGGGACCCGCCCGCTTCGTGTCCTTTCAGAGCTGGAGGATGTGGGTCCTAACTTAGTCTCACTACCGAGGCCCGGCACCATGTCTGGGGACAGTGTCTACTTGGACAAACTTCACTCATGACAAGGGTTGACCTGCAGGGTTGCATTAGGCGACCACTTATTTCACTGAGTCCCCCAAGGATAGGGAGCAAAGCTAAGCAGAGATTCACCATGTGGGACAGCAGGTTCTCAGTCAAGACCAATGGGGCAGTGGTGTTTTCTGATGTTTGCAGAAAGAACGAGACCGCTGCCCTTCGGACAGGGTGAAGCACTCTGTCCTCGGATCTTGGAGGAGGGGACACTTAGCACATGGCCTCCTCATCAAACACAGAAACCACTACCTGTCTGCCATGGGAACATGGTGGCCATTTCTTCTTCCTCCAGCTCCAATGATTCTGAGCCCATAGTCCCATGGTGAACTTTTGCTGAAGAATTTCAGGGGAGTGAGGGCAGGGTGTCTGGTAGAAGGACAGGCGCCCGAGCCCTCAAGTCAGGGTGGCAGGGGAGCAGCACTCCTTGCTCAGGTAAAGGTATATTCAAAGATTAGCCACGTGAGAACCTTCTCATGTGTGATGACCAAATCCTTCCTCTACAAAACTAAGTATGCTGGGGGTATCAAAAGTGCCAAAGAAATATATACGAGTGGACACTTTGGTCACCGTTGCTCAAGTAGTAGTTTGCCGTAATCAGAAGTGTCTGGACGCTGATGGGAACCACTTTAAGCATCTCTTGTAATTGTAGAAGTCAAATGTGACTTGTATTCATCTTTTGTTATCAGTATAAATTGAGTATTACAATTTTAATACAGTTTTGCTTTCTTAAAATGTGTATACATTTTTTTGGCACCCTCTGTTATTTAAGTTCAGTCGTGAGAGAGGAAGGCCACTCACTATTCTGTCCTCATAGCATATCTCCCCTTTAAGAAGTAAGCAAGACACAGTGACTAAAGCTAGAAGTTCCTTTCAATTAGGATAGTAAATCTATCTTCTCTCAAGAATAAATGTAAGCACTTACGGTTAATAAAATATTCCCTGAAAAAAAAAATCAACTCAAAATGGATCAGTGACCTAAATATAAGCGCTAAAGTATAAAACTCTTAAAAGAAAACATTAGGGAAAATCTTCATGACCTTAGATCTGTCAATAGATTCTTAGCTATGACACTGAAAGCATGAGCAACAAAAGAAAAAAATAGATAAACTGGATTCATCAAAATTAAAATCTTTTGTGCAACAAAGGACACTCTCAAAGAAGTGAAAAGATGACCTACAGGATGGGAGAGAACACACATTTGCAAATCATGTATCTGATATGGGTGTGGTATCCAGAGCATGTAACGAACTCCTACAATTCAACAACAAAAAGACAAACCACCCAACTAAAAATTAGCAAAGGACATGAATAAATATTTCTTCAAAGAAGATATATAAATGGCCACTATGCACATGAAAAGATACTCAACATCATTAATCATTAGGGAAATGTCAATCAAATTCACAATGCGATACCAGTTCACACCTACTAGGATGGCTGTCTCTAAATATAGGAGAAGTATTGGTGAGGATGTGGAAAAATCAGAGTTGCTGGTGGGAATGTAATACGATACAGCTGCTATGGAACACATTTTAGTGGTTCCTCAAAAAGTTCAACATAGAATGATTACATGACCGAGCAATTCCACTCCTAGGTATATACCCCAAAGAATGAAAAACAGGCTCCAAATAATACGTGTAAATGAACCATCATAGCACCATTATTCATGGTAACCAAAAGGTGGAGCACACCCAAATGTCCACCAACAGATGAATGGATAAATAAAATGTGGTCTATCCATATAAATGACAATTAGTCATAAAAAGGCATTACTGATCCATTTTACAATGTGGATGGACCTTGAAACACTATGCTAAATAAAAGCCAGATACAAAAAGACACACACTGTGTGATGCCATTTATATGAAATGTCCAGAGTGGCAGGTCCTAGACACAGAAATCAGACTGACGGTTGCTGGGGGCTGGGGAAGAGGAGGCTACAGAGGGACAGCATCACGGTTATGGGGTTGTTGGGGGGATAAAAATGCCTGCAACTAGATAGAAGTGGTGGGTGCACAACACAACGTACGAAATGCCACTGAATTGTTCCCTTTGAAACAGTTACTTTTGTTATGTGAATTTTACCTCAATTTAAAAAAAATGATTCAAGCTATCCTGTTTTCCTCTAAGGAGGAGGTAGTGTTTCCTCGGTGTCACAATTTTCCTTCAGTAAACCAAATTGGACAAACTTAATAAAGAACAAAAAGAGTTCCCCTTCTTTGTGAAAGAACTGAGAAGGTGAGGGGGATCAAAGGTGACATGCGTGTGGGCAGCGGAGTGGAAAGAAGGCGTGTTCCTCCGAGAGCTGGGAGCCCTGCGTGGAAAGCACTCCCCGCACTGCCGCCCCCTCCCGCCGAGGGCAGAGGAGGCGCAGCAGGCCCCACCTGGGGAGCCGAGGGGGCCGACTCCTGCGCTCAGCCCTTAGGTGAAACCGTTAGCTGAAAGCCCTGTGGGAAAGCTGGCGCTGCGGGTGTCAGCAGAGCTCCTGGGCATGTTTCTGGGATGTCCAAGTTGGAGCAAACACAGTAACAAAGTGACCACATGATCAACTACAGTACGTTTGTTAATAATAAAAATAAAAGCAGAATTTCATCCCTTTCCTACATACAACAAAATACACACTTTTTACTAAGAGAAATAACTCACTTGCGGTAGGTTTAATTTTGCTCACTTCTTCATTCACAGTAGAGACAGAAGCCAATGGTGCTTGCTGTCTATTATCTGCAGATCTTGGTTGAATAGAATCATGGATATCTACAGATTTCTGTGATATTGTATCCTAATAAAATAAAAAATTCACTATAAGTACAATGAATAATGCTTAAGGATGAAAATCGTTTCTATTATGCTGTTTTTAAAAAAATACATTATGTCCCTATGAAAATGACATCCTATATTTTACGATTATAGGCACGAAGAAAAAACCATTTAAAATGACCTGCGCATGGCTAAGAGCTAATAAACAGTCTTTAAGAGTAAAGCTGCCTTTTTGACCCTCACTTGGTTTGGGCCTGACACCACCCAAGGGCAACAGATAAAAATGCTAAGTTTCACTGTGTGGGGCAAGTAGCCAATACCCGTAAGCTGTCATGAAATCTAAGCAGAACATGCATGTGGCAGAGAGCAGGGAGATTTCTGCAAACTGTGTAGGCTGAGCCCAGGGAAGCTTCTCAGGCGTGAGTGTAGGGAAGGCTGTTCTGTCACCCAAGGAGCCAGGAACGTCAGTGAGAAGGTGACCAACTAGGAGTCTGGTGTCATGAGGAATGATGTTCAAGTTCAAAAAAGCTACACCAGAATTCGACCTGTGAGTTGCTAAGTGTAACCTTGAAAAAGTAATGATGAGTCTTCCTGAGCTGAAAATGGAGACACTTTGCATGCAGATTGTTAAGGATTAGACAATAAGTGTTAAGCACAGTGACAGATAATATATGGTAGCTGACATTACGACAAGTTTAGCTTTACTCTGTCACAGCAGTCTAGTCCACTCAGGAGACAGAACTTGGTTTAAAGAAGGACTAAGAATTCTGACATAATGATCCCAGCTGGATGCAACCTCGCGTGGGTTTCTGAAAGGAAGATCTGTATTCCCAAGAAACAGTGCTAATCAAAACAATATTTTAACTTGGACTTAAATGTCACAGTTTGTGATCTTTCATTTTCTGTTTTGTATGAAATGGGGATAACATGTACCAAACCTGGTTCAAAAAATTGTTGGAAGGATTGAAGTGATGCATGTACAAGACAAGTAACGCCAAGGGTTGCCAGCAGCCACTAGAAGCTGGGAGAAGCAAAAAAAGGATTCTCTTGTAAAGGCTTTGGAGGGATGTGGCACTGCTGACACCTTGATTTTGGAACTTTGGCCCCCAGGACGGGGAGAGAGTAAATTTGCTGTTGTCAGCCACTAAGTTTATGGTAATTTGTTATGGCAGACCTAGGCCATCAAATACACTGTAGGAAGGGTATATTAGATTTCTTTATACCGTTTTTGTAACTTTTCTCTAAGGTCAAATTAGATCAAAATTAAAATTTTAAATAAAATAATAATAGTATCTTCAGTTTGGCATGGAAATCTATAGATAATCTAGTGCCTGCCTCTTATAATTCTTGAAATCATTTCATTCTATGTCTCAGGCCATCCATGTTATAATTTAAAATACCTCCTTCATGGCCCTTACAGGTACATTTTAGCCACCTAAGGAATTTAACCATCATGAAATTTAATCTGAGAATTCTGGACAGTACATTTATGCCATCCTTTTAAAACAGCTGGAGTCATATAAAAAAATTTGGCCCATGGTAAAATTATTTATCACAAATAATTAAATAATTTAAAATATGCTTTATTTATTAGAACTTACCAACTGTTTTTCACTCACAGGAGATGAAGGTGGCGGGACAGTTTCTGCAGAGGTGGGACGCCAGGTCAAGAGCCTTTAAAACAGCAAAATCATACCAATCACTGAGTGTGAAGCATGTCCCATCCAACGTGTTTTGAAATGGACACAAAAAAGTCACATAAATATACCAAAAACAACATATTCCTTCTCTAACTACCACCAGGAGCAATTTGCTGAAAAAAATCCAGCAAGAAGTTTAAAATATGTATTTCCAGAAAACAATTAGCATTTAATATATTTTAAAGGATACTCTGGTCATCAATTTTATGGTAAAAAGGACTTTTTCAAAAGTTTCAGAAACTTTAAAGTCACTTTTTCTAAGTATAAAGGTCATTAAATATTTTCCAAAGTGACACCGAAAAAGTTTGAAATGTTTCAAAAAATTCATAGAACTCTTTAAATTCTATTTTGTTAACATATAAAAATAAATGAAATAAAATTTGGCCCAAAAGAGGGCACTAACTTGCCACCCCTTAAGTAGCTGCTTGACATAGAAAGATGATTAAGGCTTAAGGTCTTGCTTCTGAGAAGCAGGCACTCCTGGGGAATCAATAGGGCAGATAGGTAGTAAATACTTTGCTTCAGTTCAATATGGAAAGAACTCTGGTACAGATATATACTATTAAGAGATGCTTATTAAATAATACCTAAGATCACATGTCTTATCCTGAGTATATACATTCAATGAATTAAAACAGAAGCAGTTCTAAGAAAAAAAAATAACCGTTCAGTCCGACTGGTTTTTATAGACTTCACAGGGAGAATAGCTAGGCAAGAATTCATACTATAGGGGCCATAGATAAACTCTGACAAAAATGGAACATTTGTCAGTTACACTGATTCAACAAAATGTGCACCAAAAAAATATGAAAAATCGTCAAGTAATTATAAATGGGCCAAGGGGATTCTTTTGTGTGCTTTTCGTGTAGTCCTACTTAGAGACTGCTTTCCCAGGGATGTGTTCCTGTTGTCTGACCTCCAACTGATTAGGATATTCACAAGGGGGAATCATAACAGCACAAGCATATTTAACTCACGTCAAGAAAAAGTTTATGATGCTTAAAAAAGGTGGACTCATAGTTTCTGTATACAGTTTTATGCCAGTGCATTTAGGTACAATTTAAAGCATTTTATTAAGTAGATTTAAAAATTGTAGCTCTAAGGCAAAACTGTGCAGGTTAGAGAGCCTGCAAGGGTGAGCTGGGAAGTAAATTCAAGTCTGTCCTACAAATAATGCAGGTGTTATGAGAGTCATTTAGACAGACTGCTGTGTTTCCCCCAAAATAAGATCTAGCCAGAGAATAAACAGTAGCATGATTATTCCTCCAGGATATGGAGGGCACGCACCCCTCACATGAGGGTTTTATGACGTGTTTCAGCGAGAAGGGTGCCTTTTCCACAAACTCCTTCAGCTTAAAATATTCAGTATGCCAAGGTGCCATATTTTGGCACCTAAAATTATGCTACGGCTTATTTTCCAGCTAGGGCTTATTTTTGGGGAAACAGGTGTGTCTTAGTTTCCCCATGGACAAGAACTCCTTCTCTACAATTCAATTCCAAACTTAGCCCTTAGAAAAAGATGACAATTAACTGTAAAATCTAATATTTGCAAATAAAATTTCCTTAGATTAAATCTACAGTAACTGAATGTATGTTGAGGGTTTTTTTCCAATTCGAAACCACTGCTTGGTTTAGTCTAGATAAATAAAGCCTTATAGAAGAGGAATCATGTCATTATAACCCCAACTTTGGAAGATCACACTAAAGGTTTTGGTTTATAAAGAATTTAATTCATATATTTGTTGAGTTTGATTTACAATAAATACAAATTCATGGAACACTGAGATCTTATAAAGGATTTCTGTTATGAGGAGTCACTAGTTACTATCAAACCTTTTATGTCCATCATTCAATACATAAATATAAAGTTGTATAAAATCTTACGCATGTGGGATTGTAGTTTTGAAGATATCCAGTGTGCAGTTACAAGTTTTATCCCAGATTTCTAGGGTAAATTTTTCACCATTCAGAATCACAACATTCTCTAAGCAGTTTGTACCAGATCGTGCTAACTGCTCATTGTCTAGAAAAGAAAAGAGCAATTCATTTATATATTCCCAGGGTCACATTTAACACTTTGTGTCACTTTTCTGGTACAGACCTACCTTGCTGCACACACCAGTACAGCTGGGCAAAAATATCATCCAAAAGTACATCACTGAGCACTTCTAAGTACTGGGTAAATACATCACAGATAGCATAAAGTGCATGGTTACAAGTTGTTGTCATCCACTCAGCTTTCTAGGGGAAAAAGTCGTTAAACGAAGGTTAGACTATTCATCAGCTACTAGAATTAAAGAAATAAGTTTGCATATGTAAAATGTAAGCCTGTCCTTATTCCTTTCAGACCACTTACTTCTCTCTAGAATATTACATTCACCTCAAGTTAATACTTATTATCTATTTTCTCCTTTATCCCATAACTATATATGTATAAAATAATGTAACTGTTTTTTGTGATGTTTGTTTTGATTGTAAAAAACTATCACTGCATTATCTTGCTATTAGCATTATGACTTTGCAAAAAATATGCATGAACACTAACAGCAGGCCTTGGTCCAGCATATGACCGAACATGAAAAAGAAATAAAGAGGAAGGAAAAGATAAGAGTTTATTCAAGTGGGGTTAGCGTACCTTTAAAATTGAACTGACTTTAATAAAGTATGGTTAATTGAAAACACCATAGAAGGCAAAAAGAGCCATACAAAGTAAGTGTAAGTCATTTCTTTATCTCAAATGCATAAAGCACTAATCCGGACTGATAGTTTATATATGTACAGTTTTGCGCCAGTGCATACATGTCTACTTAATGTTCGTAATATGAGTCTACCTATAGATATAAAAATTGCAGATCTAAAGTAAAACTTTGGGCAGGTCAGGGAGCCCCCAAAGCCTGCATTTAATACAACTATATAGGACAAAATGAGAAAAACTGAAGCTCTCCCACACTTACTGAAATGCGTATTATAATTAGTTTGTAGTAAAAGACTTTGAACTTTAGAAAACTACGTATCACTATGCATTCTTTATTTAATTCAGAATAAGAAGTCACTATAAATACTAAAGAAAGGTACTGGTGCTTCTAGTTGTGACAATATTAAAATGAGGAAAAGAAACTGGAAGTCAACAAAAGCATTGAAAACAAAAAAACCAATTAATTCATTAACTCAGTTCTATCCTCAAATAGCGTTCTTGTTTATAAAGACATACAATTTGTTTTCATGTCTTAAGGAAAATTTTTCTAGAAACTTCTTCTGTGCAATGTACCAAATTTGAAATACTGAAATATATCAGCGGAAATATTAAGAACCTCTTAACATGACTATATTAAATGAAAATTTTATGTTCTCTTACCTCTGTCTGCTGTTCTGGCAATTTCATGTTGTCAAAGATTCTGAAAACAATTCTAAATAAATCCTGCCACCAGTGTTTTTCATAAGTGTGGCCATAAGTTTTCATTATTTCAAACATTACTGTTAAACCCCTAAGATGACAGAACACAATTAGGAAAGCTATAATACAAAAAAAGCATTCCACATCAGAATCCCCCTCCTAAAATTTTTATAGGTCACAAAGCTACAGAAAACAAAATTTAAAGCTTGTTTTAAACTAACACATAATACTGAGTTTGAAGAATTTTAAATTGTTATACAGCTTTCTTTAGGATGCATCATTTAGGAAAAAACTTCAAAGGCCTTAACCTTCAACTTTTTTCTTTATTTTACTTTTCCTCCACTCCCACCCCATCATCCAGCATTTAAAAATTGTAAAGGAAATTACAGATTGAGAAAGATTACCCTTTTAGTGAGTATTAATTTTGTGGCACTGTGGCCAAGGAATAAAGTATATCAACAATTAGCCTAAAAACAAGTAAAAATTAGATTTTAGAAAATCTTTTTCAAAGAGTTATAGGAATTTTTAGCCAACACTATACTTGTTCATATAGTATCCTCAAACAAAAGGATTTATAAAATGAACCCGCTACGACATTCATGTGGGCAGGGGCCTGTGTCTGTTTCCTGCTCTATCCCAGGCACAGAGCAATGCTTGTCACCTGAGAGGCATACATACAGCAAGGATTTGCTGAAAGAACGAAGTGCTGAGTATCACATTCACTCTCTCTGAGTAAGTGTTGAAACTAAAATTCAAAACTGCCTTTCTGATTCCTGATTATATTTCTCGAATACTACCTTCTTTTTTCTTGATCTTTTCTCTACAGGTTACTTTCATCTGGCAAAATATAGGTATCCTAAATTTAGAAAAGGTTTCTATTTCTAAAAGTCTGATGGTAAGGCAGAACACAATTTTCTTTGAAAGGCTCCTTAAGGACTGGTACACAGTCTAGCTCATTGCTAGTATGCTACCCCAGGGCCTAGCACCCACCTGGTACATAATAGGCCTGAAACAAATATTTGCTAAATGAATGTATGAAATAACATTATGGTAGTTAAAATAACATTATGCTAGTTCAGCCCTACATCAAATTCATAACAGTTGATTTGATCCGTAATATACCTAATGTGTAAAATAAGCAGAAGTAAAGAAACTAGGAAGAAACTCCTGTGGAAGAAATACAATCTCTCCCAGGAGAACCGTGTCAGAACTACACGCTCCCCCTACATGGTTCAAGGCTCCCTCTCCTCCACTCCCAAGCTCAAGTCCCATTTCCTTTCACTCCAAGTCATGGGATGCTAACTTCCACGACTGAAGATAAGGGGATGTGGGAATCCTGTTTCTTTTAGGCCCCAAAGCAAACACAGATCTATAGAGGTTTCCGAGGATTTTTACTATTGAAGAAGTCGTTTTTAAAGCTGTATTTAAGTTGCTGGTGCAGCTGTATTTAAGTTGCTGGTGCACAGAAAAAGAATATTTGGGACTCCAGGTTGATTATTTGTTGTTGTTTTGTTTTTTGTTTTTTTTTTTTTAAGCTGAGCCATCCTGCTACCTGTTGGCAGCTCAGCGGCTGCTCAGCTCAGGCTGGACTCGAACCGCTGTTGCTCAGAGCTCAAACTCTTGAGCGAGCTCTTAACCAACTGAGCCACTCGGCCGGCCCTTCCAGGTTGATTATTTAACCCTAAATCTACAGAATTTTGAGAGAATCAAATGTGAATGCATGTGAAAGTGTTTTGTAACTAGTGTGTTATATAAATCATAGTGTTACATTTTAAATGTAATCTAAATAACAGCCCTTACATATCCTTAGAGGAAGTAAGAAAATGAAAGCCATCACTTAACAGTTTACTCATATCTTCCCTCTCCTTTCCTAACTAGGACATGTATTTTCTCTTCTCTCTAATAACTGGAACCCATCTGTAATCTGAATATAAGATGGTGAGGAGCACAGAGGCGTGGTCCCAAATAAGGACAGGCTAAGAAAGCAGGCAGGTCTCTCATCAAATAGATTTCTACGAATAAACAAGGGCAGGGACGGGATGTTGAGTTTACGTAACTTGTCAGTCGTGACCAGTTAGTTGCTCCACTGAGGTGGCTGGACATTTAAAAGGGGTGAATCTAAATAATTCAAATTTTTATGAGTTGGGGGCTATTTTGAATTTTATCAAGTTCTAGCAGGTCCACTGACAAACGATCCTCAATGCCCAAATACAAAATAAGATGATGTGCAACGTTCTTGAGGTTACTAAATTCTCTGACAAATTCCCAAGGCTTGAGTCCTACTTTGGATGACTTATCTATTTCACAGAGTTTACTGTTATAGTCAATAATACTATAAAAACGAGACGTTTCTTAGGAAATGAATCAAACTTGACCTTGGATGGGGGTGGGGGTGGTTCTGGCGTAAGGGAGGAAGGAGAGGTTCATTCTGTCATTACATTTCTGTCACTGATTTGTTACAAATCTGTACCACCTTTCTGATTTAAAAAAACTCCAATTGTCCAAATGACTAATGACTCTCCCTAAAAAGAAAATGGGATAATTAAAATAGGGATTTTTAACATAAAACTGAACTCATGATGTACCTAAACACTTACTGACAGATATTTGGATATGCAAGTTGGCCGTTTCACTCTAGCAGTCAATAATGGTGAAAAAACCTGTTCTATGGGAGTGACATGAGCTACAGCAGGAGAAGCGTTATGTTGAGCTTGTGTGGTTAATTATATCCGTAACAGTTTCTTTACAAATAGACTATATGTTCATAGATCTTTTATTGAGACATCTTGGGGAGAGTTTAAAATTTTTTTAGTAGACCTGTATTATTCAAAACTATGTTACTGAGCAGTCTTCAAAGAGAAATGGTTCTTTACCTAAAACCCATCAAGGAAGCAATTAGGAAATTCTTCTATCATTCATCAGGAAATAAAATAAATTTTGCCACTAACTTCTATTGTACTTCTGATTGGAAATGTATGAAAAGACAATGTGTAAAATACTAAATTAACATAAAAGCTAAAGCTCAAAGTATGTCATAATAAAATTTTAAGGAAAACTAATGTAGTTCCATTTTTATCATTGTTCTTTTTAACGTATTTTAAAATCTGCCTATCTAACAATTGCTATATTGGATAAAATACATGATCTGTGGCCTTTTACTATCGAACATGTGTTCACATAAGAAAAGTTAATTTGACTAAAGTCAAAATACGCCTTACAAAATTTTAATTACAAATACTGATTGTTACCTGGTTCTTACATCTAATTTGCATCTATTGATGATACAGGATAACTCGAAGAGGATTGGGAACCATCCTCGTACCCACACCCTGTCTTCGGGTGCCACATTCATATCATCGCTTGTGTATTCCTTGAAAGCCTTGAAGAAGAAAGACAGGTTTTTTAGAGGCAAAACACAATACCTGTACAGGAAGCATATTATGTCTCCAAAACTTTTTCAAATGTTCTATAAATCAAAAGTGAACAATGTGATAAACCACAATAATTTATAAAAAGGTGGAGATTGTAATGGCCTATAAAGAGAACTGACTAGAATCCAAAAGCTGTTTTTAGCTTTATCTGCTTCCAGCTTTCTGCGTTATTAACCACGTTAGTCAGGCTTCGCTTTTATTTACATGGTTATGACACCATGCAGCCACACTAACTACACTGGGGAGGTGGGAAGGTCAAATAAGTAGATGTATGGACATGTACTAAGCACCCCATAGCTCCATGTCAGTGTGTAGTAAAAATCTTAGTACCAAACCTATTAACGCTTCACACGTGTCCTTATGATAGTTACAAAGACAGACTCGGACATGCAAGTTAAAGGTGGCAGCCAGGTTGCCAATTCCACCTGTCACTTCAGAACTTAAGCCCACACTCATCCAAGACAGTCAACTTTAGTACTGCAGAGCGCGACAGGGAAAAAAAAGTACAGAATCGCTAAAAGCCCAGGCCTGGGTTCATAACCTAGGTCTCCTTTGTTAGCTCTGAAATTACAGACACATTTTAAAACTTCTCTGTGCCTCAGATTCCTTACCTGTATGGGGCTCTAACACGACCTATCTCATAAAATTGTCATGCGGATTCAACAAGTTAATACATGTGAAACACTCAGAAAAAGACCTGATCCCTTCAGTAAACTTCAGCTATCATCACTACCCATTATAACTCAGAATCAAGCTCAGATAACTTTTGGGTTTTTCATAACTTCTCAATTTCCAAAAAAACTTGTATGTCAGACAAGAAATGAATACTCAGTAAATTCTGGTTACTAAACAACACTATACCTGAGGTCTATCAGACACATATTTTGCACAATGGCGAATAAGTCGAATTGCTTCCATACTTGTGTCTGGGAAAGCTGCATTGCATGCAAATTCAGACAAACACTTCACTGCATCCTGGAAAGAATCAATGGTCGCTGGAAAGTGTTTTTCAAACACAAGGGCTAAAAAAGAGAAAAATTATCAAATAATTTTTCAATTATTCTTAATTGTACCAAAAAACACATCAACCTCTAGATGAAATGTATACTTCCTGAAGTTAAGGGTTTTGATGTCCAACAGACATGGGTTCAAGTCTGTCATGACCACTTACTTGAGCAGAGACAGAGAAACAGGTCTGTGACGTGTTTATACTATGAACTCAGCACCTAATAGAGTGACTGGTACACAGTAGGTACTGAATCAACAGTTGGTGAGTGAATCTACAAAATTACATTTAATCTCTCTGTATCTCAGTTGCTCAATATGTAAAATGAAAAGAATACCCACGGAATAGCTGCCAGCACTAAACAATGTAAGTAGTAAGTGCTCAGCACAACAGTCAATTCAAGCAAACACTCAATAAATGACAGCTGTGATGTCACTTTTCTTGATGTTGATGATGGTCCTCATTATCATCTTCTAGCCAGGTTTAATTTACATCTTTAGTATTTCATTCTCCCTTAAAGTCAAAGGAGGCTGTGGAGTAGAAGTGGTCAAAAACAAAGGCTTTTCCTTAAGACTCGGTGGCTTTGAATCCCAACTCCATCACTCACTAGTTCTGAGCCCTGAGGCAAATTACTTACCCTTACTGGGCCTGAGTTTCCTAATCTATTAAAGAAAGCAGGATTGCTAAAGATACTTAGCTCATAGAGTTGTTGTGAAGACGGAAGAAAACACATGCAAACCGCTTACAGTGCTTGCCATATAACAATATAATGTTAACAATAATATCATTATTTACTCTCCTATAGGCAAACTTGGTAAACTTAAAAACTATAATAGGCCCATAATGGTACACTTGAATTACCCTCTGAACACATTACCATTTTTGTTTTTAACTTAAACATAGCTAAAAGAATACTCACTGACAATGTGCCCTGTTGTTTGGAATGCAAGTTCCACTATGCTTTCGTCTTGATCAGATGCAGCTAGGTGAAATACAGAGAAAATGTTCTTCCATCCAGACCGAATGTTAGCAGCTTGAGAATTCACCATCTGTGCTATACACCGCACCACCATATCTCGAATTGTTGGAGACCTAAAATATGAACATAATCGCTTGGGTGTGCATACCGATAGAACGCATCGGTTTTCTTTCCCTTCTTCTGCTTTCCCCCTGCTGTGGAAAATCGAATAATAAGATATTTTTCTGATATTAAGCAATTCAACATACCTGTTCCGTTTCATTATATGTTCAAAAGGTCTTAAGAAATCCTTCTGGAATCTGAAATTAGCAAGCTCCCCTTTCTCTAAGAACTTCATAGACAACTGCCTTAAAGAGTCTACCGCAAAAATAGCTACATCTTCATTAGGATTACAGCCAACCTGCAATGCAACAGAAATACAGGGTGCTAATACCAGCAGAGAAAAGCTGTAATTTTTTATTTTTGTTTTAGAAAAAGTATATCACTAATAGCATAGATACATAAATCCTAAGATTATACATAAAGACACTAGGTGATAACAATATTTCTCATCAAGACTAACATTATTTTAACTAAATTCTTAAAATCTAGAGCTAAAGAAAAACAGGACTCAAAGGGTTTTCTAAATTTGATTATAGAAATGTAATTAAAAAAACACTGCTTGGAAAGAAAAACAGTCTCAATTAGATTATAAGAAAATTTTAGACAATAATACAAATGTAAGCAAATCCTATAATTATTCAAATACCTTATTAAAATGATCTCCAATAACTTCCCAAATTCGAGACCACTGCAATCTTATTCTTCCCATGTTATAATATGATATTTCTACTATTTTTTGTAGACTAAACATTCTTGGATGTGTAGTGGAAAGTAATTCATCCATAGACACAGCACAGAGCCAACGGACAAAATCCACTAAAATATAAATAGATGTACAATGTTTTAGCATAATTTTCAAGTCTTTTAGCCAAAAAAGCTAGCTTATAAGTGGAATAAATGTACATACTTACCAATAGCATTTCCATCTAGCCTTGTAGACCCTGTAAATATTCTAAAGGAAAAAAAAAATAGATTCAAAACTTTGTAAAATCTCCCTTCTGTTACATCAATTCAAATGTAGTGGCCTGAGGTACAAGCTACTTTTGTTGGAACAAAAATATCAGATAGTGAAATGAATATTTTTTATTATATAGCTTAATAACAAGTATAGTTTGGATGTTCCTCCCTCTTCTTCTGCATTTAATAACATATTAAAGTAAGCATTTATGGTTGTAATTTTATTAGTAAATTTACAAACACTAGATAGGTATCATATGAGACTCTAAAAATAAGGAAATTATTAATCGTAAAACTAGTTATTGGTATACTATATAACAGAAGATTTTTCAATTTTTTTCTGATTATCAACTACTGTTAACACTAGTATTAACGTTAGTTTTTAAAATGAAAACTTTTACTTCATTTGTACAAGTAACGTACATTTGATTAGAAAATTGGTTTATGTTAAGCTACCAGCATTTAATAGAACCTTGCAAATAATCTTTAACAGTATAACCACGAAGTGGCTAAATAACTTTCCTTAGGGAATCCAAATGTTTAGAGTTAAGCTATCCTGTTCAGCTTTGCCCAGCCTTCTTCATCAACCTCTTTTTCTGCGTTTTAAAGTTTCATAGAAGACTTCAGCATAAACCTATTAGCCTTCTTTTTAAAAATCTGCATTTTTACCCATGTTCTGGACTTGTAACCAAGGGCTTGAATGTGACTTTCAGGATGAACCAATATTCCTCAACTTATAATGAACACCACAGGATGTGCATGATAAAAAGGAAAGCTTTAAGGCAGGAAAAGGTCAAACATTAAACTTAGAAATAAACGTAATCATATGAACAGTAACAGCTACCAGCAATCACAAGGTGGGTACTATTCTAAGTGCTTTATAAATATCCACTCATACTAATAAATACTCTGGGAAGTAGGCACTGTTACACTTCCAATTCTATACACATGGAAAGTGAGGCACAAAGATATTTAAAAATTTCCTCAATGTCACAGAACTAATAAGTGCTGGAGCCAAGACTCAAACCAGGAGGGGCAGACTCCTGGGTCTATGCTCTTAACCACCATGCTACACTGCCTCACACTTAACCTGAGCAAAACATAACTTAAGCACTTTAAATATATTCTAGTATTTTCCTGCTACCACAATCTAAATGTGTTCTGAGCATGTCATAATGTTTTAACCTTAGTGCCCCTGAATGTCTGCCTACGTGTTCTGGCAATGAGGAACAAAAACAAGACTGGAAAACCAGCTTAAAACCTGACAATGGCAACAACTCAATCTCATCTGCTGAAGGAATATCTTAAGATCTCCTTTATTGCTCTTGTCAGTAGAACAAAACAACAATTCAAAGATCTGGCTGCAAACACAATCTGGGGGGAAAATAAGAGTAATAAGGCCTCATTTAATCCAGTGGTTAGATTGGATCTGGAAGTTAAAACATACAAAGACTCTGCAAAGCTCTCACATGAACAAAAACGAAAATCGCTAGACTATGCATAAGTGTCATTTAATGATTTTTCAAACTAGAGGTATTCTCATAGAAGGCAATGGCTATAAGAAAAACTACCAAAAACAGAGTCAAAACTAAAGAGTATAGGAGAAACAATAGGAAAAGAAAAAAAACAAGGAAAAAATTTTAACTGAGAAGGAAGCAAATGGCAAGAGCTGAAGGGGTCAGGAATGGGAACAGAGATGGAGATTACATGCAACTACAGGGGAAATAAGCAAATTCTCTGAAGGCAGAGAATGGAGAACAAAGGCCACAGGACAGAGGAGCAGCAGCAGCAGCAATCACAGGTGGAAGTGACGGTGGAAGGCAGTGGCAGCATGCATCCTGGGGATTGGCATTCGATTTCCTACTCACTTTGGTAGCCTCTGAGGGGTCACTCTATTTCTAGTAATGCTCCACTAAAGATAAGCCATATGGTAGAGCACAGCGAGCGGTCTGTGGAAGCATTTAAAATTGAGCCTTCATATACTAAGGCAGGAGAGCAGAGCTACGTTTCACAAAGTCAGTCTATGAAATGGATTCTACATTCCTTGTATGAAAAGCAAAGGACTGAAGCATGAGAATCTTGTGTGTTAATATTAAGATATATCCTGGAAGGAATGAATAGAAAAAAATTTTTTGGTAGATTATGGCTTCATCCACATTACGATAATAATGTAGAAATGAAAAAAAACAGAGGTTGACCAAACATGCAGATTCTGGATCAAATAGACTTAAAACTATGCAACAAACAGGCACACTAAATTACTATACATGTAAAAAGTTTTCAGAGTGAAAATATCAAAGCTAACATTTATTACTTAGGCCTAACTGACAGATGTTTATGAGCAAATGCAGTGGGCGATGAGCGGCATGTGTTTTCTGAAAGGTGACAGGATGTGCCCAAGTGGGGGATGGGCTAGTTTTATAAAGCTAGATCTGGTGTGATTAAAAAACAAGAATGAAAACAAAAAATACGGCACTAAAGAACTAACTTTTAGAGGTAAATCATTCCTGGACCAACTGTCACTGCATAGTTTGGCAATACTTATGAAATTGGCTTAGTTTAGCAAATCCTGGAGGATCAAGTACTCCAGATTAAAGTGCTTGATGTTCTCCTAAATTCTAATGATACGAAGGTGGAGATTAGAAAGTTTTATCACCTTAAAGCTTTGAATGGAATCATATATTTTTCTGTTGATTAACAAACTATAAACAATTAAGCAAAGAAGAATTATTTTTATTTTTCATGTTTAGTTCCTATACTTGTTACAACAGATTTTTCAGAACAGGCCTAAGGACAGGGACAAGTACAGACCTTCCCAGGACAATACTCTCACCTGTCTTGAATACCAGGGTAACCTCACTGAGGTCGCTCATAGGTTAGAGTCAGAATATTGCATATGAAAATAAACTCAGGTATTAAGAAATTTAATAAGTAAAATGTACCACACAAGAAAATAAATCTTATAATAAATCAAAGATGTACTTTTAATGTTTTCACTAAAAGCTAAAAGTTAAATACTAAGGTTCTGTATAAAACTGGACACTGAATTTATGTTTGTGGAACTCTTCGGTGATGACGAGTTTGAGATAAAGTACTGACAGAACTTGTGCTGAGACTGCTCTGAAACAGCATAGATTCTTAAAACAGAGAGACATATTATTTGAGTGACATGTCTACCTGCAACAAACAGTGGATAGTTGGATAAATTACAACTAAGTATGGTCACATAAAGTATATTATGGAAACAGAAAAAATAGGTAAAATGTTGACTCCTGTCTGAATAGATTCTCCTAATGACAGTGAAGATGAATTTCCAGAAGGCAAGAAAATCACTTGGAAGAAGGGCAGACATTACACTGCTTGGGACTTGAACACGCAGGCAAGGAAGTTGGGAGGTCAGAGTGCACACTCAGACATACGCCGCCTGCAGGAGTGGATGCTCTGGCTCCACTTCTCACAACTCTCTGTGAAGGAAATGGTCATCAAAATAATAAAGACCAGGGCCGGCCGAGTGGCGCGAAGGTTAAGAGCTGGCTTGGGACGCCAGAGCGCCCTGGTTCGGATCCCACATATGAGGGCCAGTGACACTGCCCTCCACAGCTAAGATGCTGAACAACAGCTCAACCTGGAGCTGGGCTGCCGTGAGTCGCCGGCAACGGCGTAGGCTGCAGCCCCTGCTGCAGTGGGCTGCCATAGGCTACTGTATGTAGTCAGCAGCCACCATGAGCAGCCAGCATGAGCGGCCAGCAGCTGCAGCGAGCGGCCGTCCAGAAGCCGGCGACTGATCTGCCTCGCCTGGGAAGAGCGTAATGATGGTGCCAACTTGGGCCAGTGAAGCAACATCCTCCACAACTAGATTGAAGAACAAAAAAGGACAGCAACTTGTCTGTTCCCCTTCCCCCAATTCCCCAGCACTGTTCCCATCCCCCCAATTCCCCAATAAAAATCTTTAAAAAAAATAAATAAAGACCAGATTACCCTGGTTGTGGGATGCGCAAGTTATTTAATCCCATGTCTCAGTTCCCTTACTTGTAAATTGAGGACAATAATATTACTCATCTCATGAGGGTAGTCAAAAGATTAAATAATACAGTAAAGCACTCTGAAAAGTAACAAGGACATGGTAAGCCTTCGAGTTATATAGTAGGTATAAGATGATACACCATCTTTCTTCCATCTTCACAAGATAAAGGCAAGTGACAAAAAGGACAGCAAGTAGATGCTACGAATTCTTTTCAAGGAAAAAGTTCCACCGAGTACTTCAGAGTCAGTAGCCGGGGACACTCTAGTTCTGTCTATACTTAGAACCACAAGTTATTTCTGAAGCAAAGTAAAATAGTGGATCAGCATGAGTCTCCAAGCACCAAGAAAAGAATATAGTAGATATTATATTTACATTTTTGAAAGTTTCTATCAGAAGTAAAAATTAAAAAAATTTTAATATCTAAGTTGTAAAATGTTGAGTTTCAATTTTTTGGGCATTCATCCAGAAAAAGCTGATCTTCAAAAGAACACTAGATAGTATTCTTCATACTGGGAATTTTTAAAATCTGAAAAAACTAAATATTCCATCGTAAAATAAACCATAGCATGGGTTTTCTTTTGGAAAACAAACTAAAAATAAGGAGTACCTGGTAATATATATATAACCAACCAATTCCCAAGTCCTTTCCAAAGAAGCTTATGATGAGAACTGCCGGCAAATCCCCTCCTTTTGCCCGTAATGCAGTTCTATATCATGGACTCAGAAAGACAAATTACACTCTGTTTTCAAATAGGGATAGCAGGGGGAATGTTATCTATAAAGAAAATAAAACATTTGTGTTCTTTTTCATCAAGGTTCTATTTCCCTAATGGCCGTTAATATGTACTGTAACTTACATTTTTGTACTGCTTATCTCCTTCCTACATTCTATGATCTAAAGAGCAAAATTATAGGTGCTTCATCCTCGAAATTGCAGCATATCACTCTATAGTCTTATATTCATTACTTAAGAAAAATTACTTTGGCAACAATTTTTTATTACTGAGCAAAATATATCTAAATGCTACAGAGTTAAAACAGTACTCATCTGAAAAGGGAATAAAATGAATATCTTACCTATCAACAGCAACAACAACACTTTGAGAGCTGGTTTCGCCAATGGATTCCTGAATACTTGCAATCTGCTTCCAGTCCACATTTCCTCCAACTGCCGCATATAAAAGAGAGTCACATCAGTTTGAAAATAATTCAGTGTAAGAACACACATTTCTGAAATCAGTTATTTTCCTAATGAAAGATATAATGCTTTGGGTGAACAAATCTTTTGGCATCAGTGATCTTTATCAAGGTCACATGTGCCTAATGAGCTATACTAATTGGTATACAGACATGGTTATAAAGACACAAACTGTATTTGCAAAGATTACACGAATTAGAGTCACTAAGGATGTAGACCACAAAATTAATGACATTAGGCATAATTACTCTTAATATTTGAGAAACACAGCATTAACCCAGTTCCAATGACACCTTCTTATGATGATTCCCAATGCCATACAATTAGATCTCCCCTGTCCTTTAATCTCCAGTCCCCTGTTTACAAATGCTTATTGGAAATTCTTAACTATATGTTCTAACATCCTCTTATTTAAAGAATCATTTATACCCCGGCCAAAAAAAAAATGGTGCCATATGTTGGACAGCAGAACAACAATTTCCCCAAGTTTTCAAACTCTTAACCTTACAATCATCTTTGAGTTCTTTCCCTTTCTCCACTAGTCACTAAATCTCTCTTGTGACCTGTTTTCGTATCATTCATTCATTGTCACTCCTACCTACTCAGTCTAGGCCCTTACAACTTCAGGCTCAGATTACCGCCCGATTCCTGACTTTTCCCCTTCAATCTCTCCTTTCTCCTACCAGATTAATTTTCCTAAATTGTCAGCTTCATTTTGCTTACTATTACTTCCAGGATAAAGTATAAACTTTTCAGTAGAGCATTTATGGCAGTTCCCTTCAACATCCTAGCCAATGTATGCCTCTATTCAGACCATCCCTCAACTATCTAAAACTTATTTATCAAGGCCCCATTTGAGCATTTACTTACATAAGTACTACTCAAATCAGGATATCTTTCATACAGTCTCATATAAATTACTTTTGCTGTGTCAATGTTACCTTTTCAGCCAGATAAAAAGTTCCCTAAGGTTAGGAGCCAAGTCATATCATCTTTTTTTGTATTTCCTACACCTTATTCAATATTAAGTCCAAAGCAGATGCTCAACAAGTACCTGATGACTCAACTGACCAGATACTCAATGAATGCCTTCATGAATGAAGCATAATAGATGATGTTATACAAACCAGCTGGGCTCAAATTCTACTCTAGGGACTGAACAATGTAAAAAAGATGTGATCCCTGTCCTCATTGAGTTAATAATTTACCAGGAGAGACAGACTTACAATCAACTTTAATACAATGAAATGATTACTTCATGGATGAAATGAACTAAATACATATAATACAAGTTTTGCTAAATAGAACTAATTTTGATAGGCTAAGGGAGAATGGGGATGTTAGCTCAAGGAAAGGCTTCAAATATGATGAAATATTAATTCAAATAAGACCCAGAAGGATGATCATGTGGGAAAGGAGGCAGAAGGAAACACAATTCAGGCAGAAGCAGCAGCATATATAACATAATGGAAGGATGCAAGTGGACGTCATGTTTTAAAACACTTGGGTATAGCCACAGAGGAGGATTTGGCCAAGAGCACAGAAGAAGGGCGAGAACAGTAGTAGACGAAGCTGGAAAGACACATTAGAAATAGAATGTGAAGAATTGTTATGCGTAATGTTCTACTTTTGAAAATATGGAACATTAGACCTTTTAGAACATTGACATGGTCCAATCTATTTTCCGAAAAATAATTATGGCAGTAGTGAAACAGGAAAAGATTGAAGCCAGGGAGACAAATTATGAGCCTATTTCTATAACACAAGTAAACAAGAATGAAAACCTGAAAACAGTGACCAAGAATCGGGGTGGTAGGGAAATACTATCAAGCAACATTCAAAGTGTACAGCACATTATAGAAATTTAGTAAAGAAAAATCTAGAGAAAAAATTAATGCCAGTCACCATATAACTTCCTCTGTATATCAAATCAAAATCCTTCCAACAGAGCTTTCTATACCTTTTTATTTAAATATAGTAATTTGTAATCAATATATTTCAAGGAATCAGAATATATAAATATAAAATGTCTAGCAATCCAAAGAACCTATTTCACAAATATGTGAAATCTTTCAAAGATTTGTATGATAACATCATAGACTAATATTTCAGTTTTACCAAACAAATTACTCAAAAGAAAATACTTAGTACACCATGATCAGGTGGGTTTCATCCCTAATATGCAAGGGTGGTTCAACATCCGCAAATCAATTAACGTGATACACAACATCAACAAAAATAAA